CGCTAACGGTTGCTAACGGTTGCTAACGGTCGCGCCGCGGGGGGAACGGGTCGCGACGCGTCGCGAGGCGAGGGGAGCTCCCCGCCCGCGGGACGGTCGGAGGCCGCGGCGCCCCTCGGTGCGGGGTGACGCGAGGCGAAGCTCTGGTTCCCCCCATAGAGGTAACAGGGGAGGCTCCCGGGTCTTCCTCGTTCCGTCCGGGGCGGCGGGGATCTGCCCCAGAGCCGGGCGGCAGCAGAGCTCGGTGGCCCCGCGTGTTAAAGATACCTGTGTGGCAGCACAAAACTGCGTATTTGGTGCAGGAAGGGAGATTCAGGCTGAGTGACTTAGTGTTGCCTTTTTTCTTCTTTTTATGTAAAGTTTTAAATTTGGGTATGTAACGAAGAGGAGGAGATTTTTCAATTTTCAGCCCTAAGCAATTCTTGTCAGTTAGCAGAAGTAGGAGGAACATGGCAGAAATATTAGTGTGTGTTTTGACTTTGGGGAAACTTTGTGTTTGTTCAATAAGCATAACTTGTTTGTGTTAAATATGTCAGAATTAGCCTATAGAAAACCAGAATCTCTAGAAAAACAGAAGGCCTCTTCCAGTAAGTCGAGCATTAGCTAAGTTCTTGCTGCTGTTATCTGCAAGCGATTCCAGAGCTTTTTACTCCAAGTGTGTGTTGTGCTGTGTTTACACTGGTTGTGTTGCAACCAAGACAGTAGTGTTTCTCTGAAACTTAAAGCTATAGGGGAGCTGCAGTAATGTGTACCTTAATAGCCATTTTGTGCTATTGACACTGAAGATCTGCCCTTAGAGATAAAGGTAAAATAACTTATCAAAAATAAAATCTCTACAGCTGAGTAAATGTTTTTACCTAGGCCAGAATTTGGTGTATTTCCTTATTCAGATTTAAAGTTCTGCTGGCAAGGTAGATACTACTATTGCCATGACTTCTAGGAAATACCTGTTACTTAAGGACAGAATTAATTGGTGAGGCATTTTTTTTTCCTTTCTTAATCTGTTTATTTTTCAATGAAAGTTAGGACTTTCTTCCAACATGACTAGGTTAGTAATTGTGAGTATTAATTTTTGTTATGTTTCTTGGATCAGTTGGGTTAAGACCAATAATAGGCCTTTTTAGCACTACATTTGAATTTGTGTTGTGGCCTGCTGAAACAAGTAGGCAAACAAAATATAGAATTATGGTTCCCAGTGTTTTACATTTAATGTCTTTGCTTTATTTTTAAATGCTGTTTTAAATGAGCTGCTGCTGTTAGGAGGTTTTAAAATGTCATTATTAAGTGTTCAAATGGCCCCTGCATTAGGAGTTCTGGGTCTGGGTTGCCAGGTCTGAGATTCAGTTTAAGAAATGACCTTAACGATTTGGATTATTTGCTCCATACTTCCTTCCGCTGCTGAAAGAAGCTGCCTCCTGTAATTACTACTTCCATCCTGTGGCTGGTCCAGTGCGTCTGTTCACTCCGTGCTCCAAGAGGTGATTCAGGACTCAGCTGAGTAAGTTGTTTTGCTGGCGGCAGCCTGCTCTGGTGCTCCTCGCACCCAGGAGCATTGCAGCAAATCCTTAGGGTAGCTGATGAGCACTTGTGAAATTATATGGTGGGTTTAGGAAGCAGCAGATCCGCTGTGTGTGTATTCAGAGTAACTGCATATGTATATGAAGAGAATCTGTGATGCCTCCCAGAACAGTCAATGAAGGATGTGAGTACCTGGAAGGCAGCTTTATGGTTTGTACTGAAGCATATTCCTGGACAGTGTAGTATAGTGTGTTTTTTTTTTTTTTTTTTTTTTTTTTTCTCTCCCCTCTCTTTTCCATAACTTTTCTTTCTTCTCTATCGTCTTATGGAATCTTTCATAGCATAGGAAAACATAAGTTACTCAGTGCAAAGGCCAAGGTAGGAGCTTGCAAACTACTAATTTTAGTTTACTCAATGTAAAATACCTTTTGAAAAGGACATTGTATGGGAGGGAGAAAGTAATCTGATCTTTATTCTTAAACACTTAGGTGTTTTTCTTTTTGAGTTTTTCTTTTATGACTGAATTACTTTGTGCTTTGTTTTCTAACAGTAAATGACTATAGGTTTCTCATGAATTTTCATTAAATAGACAAATATGATGTCTAACAGATTATTCATTTTAATAAGACACAGGGTGTACTTGGCCCTATGACTTTAATAATTATATGTCAGTAGCAATTCCTAGTTTTAATTTCATTTTCTTTCACATTTTCTGTGTTCATTTTTATTGAAGCTTTAGACTTCTGCTGAGAGGTGCCCAGGCAAGTTACCATAAATTCACTTTTAAGAACTGGTATTTGTAACAATGAAGTGCGGTCACAACATGCCAGGCCTGAAATGGACCATAAGAAGGATTAGTATAAAACATGTGATAACTTGCATCTTGTGTGTGCAACAAAACTTAGCAGGTTGTAGTTACGTATTCCCTCTTTCTTCTTGCAACCGTTAATCATATAAAGTAAGTCAGTACCTTTGCACGTAGACATTGCAGTAAAAAGACATGCTTTAAGATATACTTCAGGTTGCATGGTTTTGTTTTCAGTAAGGACCTGGCTGATAAAATGCATGTACAGGAAACCCCTTTTTCCACAGCTTGAATGCTGTCTATTTAGTACAATAAAGTATATTAGAAGTCAGGGCATCTTTCTTAATTGTATTGTTCAAGGTTAAATATTAACTTTTATAGTTCAGCTAGCTCGAATCAAAATGTCATCCACATTTAATAAAAGCTTTTGTGTGGAAAGGATGCTGATGCTGGAAAGAACACTTGGCATTAAATATATACTTAATAGGTGAACACATGTATTTACGAATAAAAGTGTCAACAAAGAGGTGTTCAGAAATGGTGATTTCTAAGTCATTTTGTGGACAAGAGTCCTGGAAGTCAAATTAGTAGTTTCTGGCCCATACAGTAGATTTTTTAAAAATAGAATTCTAAATATATTATTTGGCAGAATAACTTAATTATAGGTTTTTATATAGAGAGTCTATCTATAAATCATTGCCTGACTTGTTACTCTGGTGTTAGTTACTCCTACCAGTCTAGCAGATAAGTATTTGAACAGCATGTGTACAATGAAGCCTATGTAAATTGATGATTCATTGCCCACAGAGAAAATAAATTCTATTATCGCACATGCTTATATGTCCCAGACTCTTTAAATTTTAGCTCTGACTTTTGCTGGGCCTCTTCCACAATAAAATGGGCTCTGTGGTCAGCGTGTCTTATATTTGTTAGCTTGATTCCGTGTGTTTAATTAAGAACAATTCCTTAACATAACATATATACAGGGTTGTGAATGTGATGACATATAGCTGATACTGAAGGGTCTGCATGAGTCTTAGCTCAAACTGTTCCCTATATATTCTAAGGCATTAACTTGCATTAACTTCAGCTGCTTCTATTAAGTAGTTCATAGGCACAGCAGCTGATGCAACAGGGGAGTGTATCAGCTGTGTGACCTGTAAAGCAAGAGAAAAAGGGGGAGCCAGAACTATTTGGAGGTAGGATTTTTAAGAGAAGCCTCTAACATTGAAATGCAGTGATGAAATTAGCTTATAAGCTCATCTTGACATTTTTAACATTATATAAAATGGTAGATATTGTGAAGTGGTCTGTCTCCTTAGAAATTGAGATATTATGTTGAGGGTTTTATTTTCCTCTTCTTGAAATACATATTTTACCTATATTGTATGATATTGGAGTCTGTGTGTCTGTACATACACGTAGTGTCATAAATTGTCACTACTAATGCTCTCAGTGGGGGAGAGGCCATCGCAAGGAGTCCTGCAGCTGCTTTGTGAGCTCTGTAGCAGGTGGAGCACCAGGAGCGCAGGCCTAGAATCATTCGCCACAAAAATACCTACTTGCAAGAAGCGGTGTCTTAGTCCTGTCTGAAAGAGTGGAGACTAACGGTGGCTTTCATTTTGTATTCAGGAAGTAAGGCTACCCCTTTATTATTTCAAGATTAGGATTGTTTCAAGACTCTTTTTTTATAGCATATCTACATTATTTATTTCTGGGTTGTCATCTGTGCAGTTTCTTGGGAAATACTTATTTTTTCTGGAGAATCAGACCATTAGTTGTGCATGGTACTGCCTTTTTCTGGTACTCTGGTTCACATAACACAAATTTAAGTGTGGCAGCATCTGTAGCTGGAAGATTATCTGATTAGAAACATACCGTATTAGCAAGTTTTTAAGTATTTCATCCACTTTTTCCCTATCCATCAGGGCTTCAGGGTGAGCACAGATTTTTGCTCTGTTGTCATTTGTAATTTACAGAAGACAGGAAAGGTCCTATGACAGCAGCAGCTTTCTTGCATCAGGACAGGTCTGAGACTTGTTAGTGAACCCCGCTCACATTACTAGCCCTTTGATTTTTATGTAATTATGTATTTCTGCTTGTCAGACTTGAATCAAGCAGCTGTAGATGTGTATGTATAGTTGTGCTGCCCTAGAGAGTCATTTGGGCCAGCTTGTCTTCTCCTCTGGTGTTGCAGTGTTGATGTGACTTGCAATCCAGCAGTTCTTAAGAGCTGAATTAGAAGATGCTTGTTAAGAGATGTGTTTCCTCCAAGTACAATGCTGTGTTCACAGTTTCTGTTTAAAAGCTGACATAGGCCATGTTATTTGGTGGTTACTGCTTGTCTTCGAAAGAATTATTGATAGAATTCAGAGAACGTTATGATCAGTATAACTGCAGGATGAGGCTAATCCTTCATTTTCAGTTTCCTTTTGATAATGACAGCTGGAGCAGAAGGACCTATAATATTTAGTAGATTTAATGATGTTCTTGCTTTAACCTGATTCTGGGTAAAAACACTAATAAGACCCCCCACACACACCCTGAGCCTTCTCTTCTGTAGGCTGAACAGTCCCAGCTCTCTTTGCCTCTCCTTGTATGAGAGATGCTCTAGTCCCTTAATCGACTATGCGACCCTTCGCTGGACTTGCTCTTGCATGTCCATGTTTTTCTTGAACTGGGAAGCCCAGCACTGGAGCCAGAGCTCCAGATGCAGCCTCTCCAGTGCTGTAGAGGGAAAGGATCACTTCTGTTCATCTGCTGGCAACACTTTTTGTGATGTAATCTAGGATACCATTGGCCGCCTTTGACCTCAGGGTGTGTTGCTGGCTCCTGTTTTTCTGCTGAACTTGTTCAGAAGGATTTTCAGATCCTTCTATATAACGATGATGTTCTCCAGCTGATTGACCCCCAGCCTTTACCTGTGCATGAGGTTATTCCTCCATAGAAGGGGAGGACTTTTCATTTCCCTTTGTTCAGAGATCCCTGTTAGCCTGTTTCTCCAGCCTGTCAAGGTCCCTCTGAATGGCATCACAATCTGCTGGTGTGTCAGCCACTTCTCCCCTTTTTTATTTTCTGCACCTTTGTACATTCAGCCCCATCATCCAGGTTGTTAATGAGAGCACAGAGCAGTATTTGCCTCAGTGACCAACCTGCTGCAGGTCACAGCTCTTGGGGCCCTCAATTTCAGCTAATTTTCAGTCCACCTCTCTGCTTCTCTAGCCTGCACTTAATCAGTCTGTACATGAGGATGTTACAGGACACTGTTGAGAGCCTTGCTGAACCAGAGAGAAACAATATCCTCTGCTCTGCTGTTGCCTGATAAGGCAGTTGACTTGCTGAAGGCTATCATGTTGGTTAAGCACGATTTTCCCTTCATAAATCCCTGCTGACTATTCCCAATCACCACCTTGTCCTTCACATGTCAGCTAACACAGCCTTCCAAACATGAGAAGAATTTTTCCCTTTGTGCATTTTTATGAGAGTTTCTGAGGTTTTACACAATTATGTGTAGAGCTCCCACAGCTACTTCTGCTTAAAGGACTCCCGATTTTGCCCATTTGAAGTGCCTGCCTGATCCCAGAAGGTTCTGTAATGACTGCAGTGTTGAGAAATATCCATTGTTTATACCTGCGTTGAAAGTTTCACAAACATAAATATTGTATTTTGGGTTAATGAAGTATGACCTTTTCTCCCTGGTAAGTGTATTGTTATCTTTTAAGCTTTATTTTATTAAAGATCAGGTTTTACATAGCCATATAATATAAAAGCATCAGTCTTGCATTATTATGGAGAAACTTATTGGTTTTTTTCCAAGTATAATAAAAATATTTCTTCAAATGCTTTAAAAACATTACAGACCTGTTCAATTCTAAATATTTATTCCTAATACTTTCAAAATCTTGGAGGGAAATAATTTGCATTATTTTCATCTTGCATGTTACAAAAGTGGAGACAGACAGTGTAAAGGATCATCTCAGGACTTGAGAGGTTTTGGTTTTATATCTGGTTTTCAAATTCAGTATCCTCTGCTCAGATAACTGCATGTTCTTATAAACAGTTGTGTCTTTTAGCTGCTAGCATCCTGCTTAGGTCTCAGACAGCAGCATTTGTATTTCAGTGAAGGGATATGGAGCAGTTTGTTGATTTCTCTGTGTTGTGCTAAAGAATGCTGTCTGCACGTGCCTCTCTTGCCAATTTGGCTCTCTTTCCAAATCAGATATATAGTGGGAGAGAAAGAAGTGCAGAGGAGAGGAAATTACAAAGCGTTCCTGTGAGAAAGAGCTTCTGGTATAAGAGAAATAGGGAAGAGTGGGAAACACAAAAACTCAATAGATAAACTGACCAAATGTTTAGGTTGACTGGCCTCCACAGACTGGTTTCTGGACATTTATTTACTAGTGATTTTGGAAGCAGTACTTAACAAAAGAAGTGTGACTGTGTGTCTTTTCACAATCTCTCACCTTAAATAATGTTTACCCACTCTTTAGAGTTTCAATTAAGAAAATTTTAACCGTTTTGAGAGTATGACATCATCCAAGTTTGAATTCTCTTTCATTTCAGGAAAGCCATTTGTGCGTGTAGTTGTAGCATCACTGGAGATTAGAACATCATTTTTGTCAGCATAAAGTTGCATTTCTGGAAACAGCCATTAATGAGTCAGACTCTGCTCTGCCCTGGGTCCTTTGGGCAAGGCCACTGGCCTTTAATTAGAGTTCTTCTGGCAGACAGCAGAGTAAAGAATATCTCTATGAAGAGAGACCTGGGAAAAAGGAGCAGAGTGCTTTTAAAGATATGCTTTCTAAGGGTTAGAAGCATTGGCTTGAAAACAACTTACATACTTGGAGCTTCACTCTTTTTTTTTTTCTTTTTTTTTTCTTTTTTTTTCTTTTTTTTCTTCTTTTTCTTTTTTTTCTTTTTTTTCTTTTTTTTCTTTTTTTTCTTTTTTTTCTTTTTTTTCTTTTTTTTCTTTTTTTTCTTTTTTTTCTTTTTTTTCTTTTTTTTCTTTTTTTTCTTTTTTTTCTTTTTTTTCTTTTTTTTCTTTTTTTTCTTTTTTTTCTTTTTTTTCTTTTTTTTCTTTTTTTTCTTTTTTTTCTTTTTTTTCTTTTTTTTCTTTTTTTTCTTTTTTTTCTTTTTTTTCTTTTTTTTCTTTTTTTTCTTTTTTTTTCTTTTTCCCCCAAAGACTTTGATCAAAAATTGGTGAAGTCAGAGGGGGAAAGGATGCTTGTAGATGGAATCGCATTTAGGTGCTTGGGAGGTAGAGGAGTGTTTCTGTAAATCTGCTGTGCCCCTTATAAATAATGCATGTGCAGGGACGTTTCAGTGGTTGTACTGCAGATTATTCCTATTCTATTGGCACCCCCAAGGGTCCGTCTCTAACTGAGCAAAGCAGGGATGGAGAGGCAATATATGAAACACGGTTAAGCAAAATGTAAGAAACCTCAGGAAATTCTGATTGCAGTGTTTTCTTTCTTCCTTCCTCCCTCCCCTTCATCTCTTTCCACCCCTCCCAAACAAATCGCTTTCACTGAAAATTGTAAAAATGCAGTGAAGATAAGAGAGGGATTGGGCTAAAGTTTCAAGTCTAGGTACACTGAAATGTCTATGATGGCGGTGAACACATTAGACAGAAGCAGATGTCTTTTCTTCCTTATTCCTTTTTTGTTTCACGTGTTTTCAAGGTAGTTGATCTAGAAGGATCCCACCTCTAGGCTGCTGCAAGGATAAAGTGATTTGGGAGCTCTGAAAACAGTTTGTGTTTGCAGGTGGATCTCTGGGAAGTTTTAGTACTGAGTCAAGGGCTACCTTACTGCAGAACGCTCCCTTCCCAAAGAGGTATTAGAAAAGGCCAACCTGGATGTAAAGAAAATATCTATCTGCTGCTATTATATACTGAGTTGCAGTAGAGAATGAGAGTTACTTCAGAGGAAATATGAGAAAGTCTTGATTTCATTATGTATTTTTATGAGTCTTCAGAAGGAACTCTTCTCCTAATTTCTTACTTGATTTCAGAGTTGTTTATCATATTAGAAAAATTATATTTCATCTGAAAGATATTTAAGAAAAGATAATCTATTCCTCTTGCCCACAATAAATATTTATTACTTTTCCAAACCTGCCAACCTCATGTCCTGTTATAAAGAATTGAAAATATTTCATGTGATCTTTTTTAATTCATTAAGTTTTTATTAAAAGCTGTGTTGTCATAAGAATGTGTTGCCTTCATGTATATTTTTACAGGATGTAACTTAAAGTTTGCTTGGTATTCTAAAAACCTCGTCATGAAAATGTGGGACAAAGTTTACTGTCAGTTGTTGGAAGCACTGTGATTTCTTGGTGGTGTGTCTCGTTTTCCACTTGGGTCCTCAGGCTAAGAAACCTGATTTCATTTCATATATGCACACTTTGAAGTGAAGTTTTATCCCTCTGTGGTAAAGCTGAGAGTATGACAGTTTTCTTGATAATGTCAGTACATCATAAATCTTTAAGATGGCATTTTAGAGTCTCAGGACTCCCTCTAACAAGCTAATGGCTCTGATGATCACTTAGAGAAATAATGCACTGTGAACTTTCCAAGGTTTCCTTTTTAATCCATTTTTTAATGGTCAATTTTTTTAAATTTACTACTTTCTAGCTTAACAAATGGCTGCCCAGTGTGTGACGAAGGTGGAGCTGACAGTTGCCTGCGCCAATCTCTTGGATAAAGATGTTGGTTCCAAGTCAGACCCACTGTGTGTGCTGCTCCAGAACACAAGTGGTCAGCAGTGGTATGAGGTAAAATGTGATGCTCAGAATAGTGTGTAACTTGTTGGATCTATTCAAACACTGGAGCATAAAATTTCCTTAAAGAAAAAAATTTACTAATACCACTGAATGGTATGAATCCTTGCTAGATTATGTCTGCAGTAGGTATACAGGTAATACGCTAAGAATTCTTTTCTAAGAAGTGCTTACATCTGTTTACTATTTATAATACTATTTACTGTAACCATACGTGGACAGACAGCCTTCAAGTGCTTAAGTGTGCTTTTATAAAATATAGTACTCCAGAACTGTCTCTCATCTTGGATTTGAAAATACGCTGCTTTTATGTCGGTCTTTCCAACCCAGGAGTAGTTAGTTCTTACTGGGAACAAAGAGAAACAGTTCATCGAATATCTGAGACTCACGGTAGCAGACTTTGTAACATTCAGTGGTTACTTATATTTGAAAAGGCCTATAGGCATATATGTCTATTTTAACTAAGAAGATTCTTCTGAAGGCCTTTAATTAGTCATTTGATTTGGAAGCTTATTGTAGTTGTTCGAACTGACTAGTAAAATTCTGGCTAAGGTCATTTTTTTTTTCTCTCTTAACTGCAGGTTGATCGCACAGAAAGAATCAAGAATTCCTTGAACCCCAAATTTGCCAAGAAATTCCTAATTGATTATTATTTTGAGCTTGTTCAGAAACTTAAATTTGGAATATATGACATTGACAACAAGACCTTTGATTTGAGTGATGATGATTTCCTTGGAGAATTTGAATGTACACTGGGGCAAGTAAGTATGCAGTCCTTTAATTAAGAAAATACAAACATATTGCAAATCATTAATCACTTTTATCTTAAAAAGAGCTTAGATACTTATCACTGTGTTCTTGTGTAGGCAGGATACTCTAATTTGAAAATAGATTTTTTTTTCCAGGCTCAATTTACTATAGACCTTTTATTTGCAAAATATCTTGAGATATTGTTTTAAAATGTACCCTAAAATGGTGACTGCTTAGATAGCTATCTAAGAGTAAGAGGACTGCCGTGATGCACAACGTAATAATTGCTGGTTATTTACACCAGTGCCCAAATTCTTATTTGTATATTCCCAGAAATAAAGGAATTAGCGTACAATGATATACAATGATAAACAAGGGCCATATTAATTCTGATAATGATTGCCTTCCATGTAGGGCGAACAATGATCCTGGTTGTATATACTGTTGATGTCACTCTCATTTGGCTATAGAATTCCACTCTTGTCATGCTAGCTCCTTAAAGGAGGCAGTAAAATAATCCAGAGTGGCTCCAAGCACTGGGCTTTATTTAGTTGAATTTATTCACCAGTACAAGATCTTTGAGATAATGATCATGCCAGGTAATAGTAGATGTTGTTATAGAGATGGGCTTATCAATTAGTAAATAGCAACTAGTAATTAGTACGACTATATGGAGAGCACAGCTTGTTCCAATAAAATGCTGTAGCGTTTCTTCACCCTGAGTGTACATGGAGTTCTCCTTCTTATAAGGAGTCACCTTAACTGAATGCCCCAGGTTGAGAAGAGGGAAGAGACGCTCAGGATCCAGCTGGAGGAGTTGGTCAGGTGGCCTTCCCAATCCCCGCTCAACGCACTGAGGCCAGATGCGGGCTTTTATGCTGGTAGGGAAGGAGTGTGTCAGCCTTATAAGGTGATTCTTCCAGAATCTTCAAGGGACTTCCATATTATCTGCTTTGTACCCTCAGTGAGGCGGGTTTCAGTCCCTTATCAAGTGTTTTGCAATTGTATCAGTTCTTTGTTTGCAAATTTTAGTGAAGTGAGACTTCCCTGCCTCCACAGGACTTCCTGCTTCCCAGAGTTTCTACATCTCTCTTTTGCCACACTGGCAGAGCTCCTGCAATTCGTAGTCACTTGTTAACTCTTTACTCGCCTGTCAGTTCTGTGCTGTCATATTCAGGCCGCTTTTCCAGCATGTTCTCCAGCATGTGGAGCTTTTGAAGGCTTTTCTTCTCAGGAGTGTCTTCTCAATTTTTCCACTACTGTGTCTAAATTATTTTTACTTATAGTGCATTAGGAAAAAAGAGGCATTGTGAAATTAAATTAACAATTTAGAAGCAGTCACTTGTTCCTGCAGTAAAGAAAGACCTAGAGAATGAGCAGAGAGTCTTCTGCAAAAACATTGCCTGAAAAGGCTAAATCAAAATCAACTAGTAATCCAGCAAGAGGGGGCTGATGGTTATTTGCATAGCGAACACATTGTGTTTATAAATGTGTTTGCTGAAGCTATTTATGAAATATGGCTTGCATCTATTTAAATGTTATTTCTGAAAAACTTAAGAATGACTTAAGATTGCAATTTAAGATACTCTTGTTGTCCTTGTGTGTGTATTATGTTGCTATAAGGCATTTTATTCTGCTCCTGAAACTCTGCATATGTTCATACCTTTATACATCATATGAATGTTTTTATCTTTGAAATGTACCAGGTATATATCTGTTTATCTGTAGCAGAAAATAGGAATTAAATGTACTGTCATCTTCATGGCAAAGAAAACATTCTTAACATGAAAATACCTCACAGTCTCATTTCTTGCATATGAAAAAATGATTTGATTCCTCTAATAATAATGCGTGATACTCAACTTCTGTTTTGGCAGATAGTTTCTAACAAGACTTTAACAAAACCATTGGTACTTAAAAATGGCAGACCTGCTGGAAAAGGCAGTATTACGGTAAGATAATACTACTTTTCAACACTTAACCTTAACATTTGTTTGTTTGCTTTATATTGTTGCTTAAATGTAGCATATCTAATTCATAGTGCTAGAAAGAAGGTCTAGCATCCAGCATTCTGGATATTTTGTACCAGTGAATTCCTTGTTATCAAAAGGGAAGGTTGCCCAACTTCTGCATCTGGAAGACTCCTTGTGTGCGTCTTTGACAGGATGGAGGAATGGACAGGGAAAATATCTGTGTGTGCCAGTGTGTCACCAGGTACTTGGCTACTGCCGAGCATGCTGGAAAGTTCTCAAAATCAAAGTAACTGATGTCCTGCTATTCAAACAGCATCTTTAATTGACAGCATCATTGTTTTTAAATACTGAATTGAAATGTATTTCAGACTGTGATGGGTAGTGAGTCCCAATGTTGAATTGTGTGGGTTTTTTTTCCATTTTTTTTCCCCTCCATTTTTAATGCTTCAAGGTTTTTTTTTTTTTTTTTTTTGAAAAGATGCCTTGGCCTCTGAATACAAGTTACATGATCTTGGTTACTTTCTTTCCTACCTAGATTACAGCAGAAGAAGTGAAGGATAACAGAGTAGTTGTACTGGAAGTAGAAGCAAGGAAATTGGACAATAAGGTATTTAACTGGTTGCTGTTTCAGTGATGAAGCAGTGAAATTAGAATTCTGTCACAGGCAGAAGCATTAAAATGTTAATTCTGATATTTGGAGAAGTTATTGGGGCCATTAAGATTTTGCTTACGCCGGAAGAAAAATGAATCATACAATCATAGAATCATAGAATGCTTAGGGTTGGAAGGGACCTCTAGAGATCATCTAGTCCAACCCCCCTGCATACACAGGGTCACCCAGAGCACGTGGCACAGGACTGCATCCAAGCGGATGAAGAATAACTTCAGAGTAATGTTGACTATTTCAGGGGTGTTCCTAGATCAGCACTTCTCCATGTAAATGTACATCTTCACAGTTAATTAAAAAGATAAAGGAGTTCTTGTGTATCCAATCATTTGAACAGTTGCATAACTGATTACCTGTAAATTTATTAAAATAAATGACAGAAGTGTACTTGCTGACATAGATATGTATTTTTTTGTTTTTAGTGCCTGAATCTATAATGTTCAATAGTTTTGGATTGGTTGAAATTACTGTATTTAAAAATATAATATTAATAATGGAAAAAAATGTCCAACTTAGGGAGCTATTTCTACTACTACTTATTCATACCGGTATAAGTAACTCTGAATTTGCTTGAATTGTCAGGTATTTAGTATATAGACGCTAGAGAAATGTAAGCACTTTTTTGCTGATCTATTTTACAGTTATAAATATTATCTGACTTGAATTATTTTCATTTGAATAATAACAAGCTTTTCCTCCCTAACTATAGTTTAGTTCTTGTTAATCTAAATGTATTTTAACTAGCACTTAATGATATTCATGCCCCAGGATGTTCTGGGATAATTGCTCGTTCTTTAAATACAGGATTTCTTTGGAAAGTCAGATCCTTATCTGGAATTCCACAAACAGACTGGAGATGGAAACTGGGTGATGGTTCACAGAACAGAGGTAGGATGTTTTCTATCAACAACCTGGAAGCTGTGGTAATTTTGAATTTCAGTGTGTCATGCTGCTAGAAGTACAGCATTTCTTACAAAAAGAAAAAACTGGTCTAGCAGTTGATGTGCAGACCAGAGTTAGAAATTATCTCAGATGTTCCACTGACTTTCTGTTTATGTGGGATTTTTTTTTTCTGTGTAAAATCATTTTATTGGTTTTAGAGGAAGAGCTTGTACTGATACCAGTCCATTTCAGAGGATATTTTATATTATGGGCACATTCTAAATGACAAATTCTGCATATGCATCAGTATTATTCCTAAATATTTATTTAGCTTTTGGCTTAAGACACGCAGGCAAGCAGCAAATATCCTTTTACTCTCATACGCTATTTCTGCTGAACTGTACCATGAATTTCTTGAGGAAGTATTTTTCAGAAGAGGCATTTCAGAATAAGCATTGGCTGGGGTGAAATGTAATCTCCAGAACTTTGGTTTCTTCAAAAATTCCCTTATTTATTTATTTATTTTTCTTTTTATTGATAAATCATGCTTCCATTCACTGATGAATCTATCAGTATCAGCATGTACATAAGGAAAATGAAATCAGAAATTCCTTCCAAAGTAATAGCAGCATGATGTAGTAGATCACAGTGTAGATTAGAGAATGCAGATTTTAAAAGATATCCTGTGATTTGGCTTTGACAGTGATATGGCGTGTTTTTAATGCATTTTTTTAGTTGTTGTTCTAAATTGTATATGTTAGTGTTTGTATTATGGGAAGTGACAGACGATGGTATTAGTCAAAAATTTTTGTTTATGAAAATCATGACAAGAGGGTAAGACCAGATATGATGATTATTTTCCACTCTTGTAAGTATTACTGTTTTGGCTGTCTTTTACAGGTTATTAAAAACAACTTGAATCCTGTTTGGAGGCCATTTAAAATCTCTCTCAATTCTCTATGTTACAGTGACATGGATAAGTCAATCAAGGTAATGTGTAAGAAACGCATGTGATTTTATGGCTATATTAAAAAAAATAGAAAATGTAATGAAAAGTGTGTTATTTTAGGTTTTTTTGTTTCAGATTATATTGAAAGTATTGTTTTTTCTCCTTTTTTTTTCCCTTCTCCTTTATTATGTATTTGAAAGTCACAAAGCTGTAAGCATGCTTTGGAGAGAAAAAAAAAGTCTCCGTATGCATAAATGATGCATAAAAGTTGGTCTTTGAAAGGCTGGGAAAACAGTCCAACATAAACAGCTTTGAAAGCTGCAGGTCAGTTTCTTGCTAGATTATACAATTCAAGTGTTGCGTTGGCCAGCATCAGTAGTGTTAAGAGCGTATAGTGAAAGATGCATTAGAATATGCTTTTATTTCTGTTTTATGAATAATCAGATGAATAACATCTTGTTACTGGTGCACTAGGTAACATTAATGGAATCTTTAATGCACTTCCTGAGCTAACAGATGTAGATCATGTGTTAAACATGCTTAACAATCCCTTTTTTCTCCTGCCTTTTTTTTTTTTCCCCCTTTGCTTGCCTCTTGTATTACAGTATATTTCCTGGTTTAGTCTTTAACTATCTCCTGAATATATGTTGCAGCTGCTGCTCCTTTTTCAGCCTCTTGTAACAGTGGTGTAATCAGCTCCAGTTAATTTGGCTGTGAATGAGGGAATCACATTTGTGTGATGCTTCTGGCTGCTGCCTCCCACGAGGAGTAAATTGAGTAAATTAATAACAATATAAATCCCTCTAGAATGAAACATGCTTATAGTGGAAAGGAAGCATTACCTTTTAAGCAGGCTTTTTTTTTTCTCGGTCTTTAGAGAGAAACTTTCCATCTTTTTATGGAAAAGCCTCAAAGAGGAGGCAAGTCTATGCTTTTCCCATTTCATCAGTCAGGACTTTCTCTTGGCTGCTTCTTAAACTGTGAGGGCGAACCTTGCTTATATGGAAGTATTGCTATCACCTGGGAATGCTACTCTTTTGGATTATCTTCTCCTTCACAGCAGCTAATAAGCGGTGTGAATGAATTCCTAGGATATGTTTTCCTCTGTTCTCTATTTTGAGTAAGTCCTGTGAATCTGGACTAAGATTTTTTTTCTTTTTCTAGCCTATATGTAGATCTTGCTAGGGTTGAAGGCTGTGATGCTGTTCGAGGCTGCTGTGAAGCAGGAATTCTTCCCAGCCCTTAGAATCCTGAGACACCTGGGAACTAGAGCCTATGTGATTTAGCAGAACAAGCAACTGGAATGGGGAGTGGGTTTGCTGTGAAGGCCTAGGTCTCAAGTTCTGAGTCAGCAGCAGCTTCTGTCAAGAAAACATGTCTGCAGCTGGCAGGCTTTCTTCTCAAACAAATTGAGCATCTAGCTCAGAGTCATTTCAAAAGCAGGCAGCAAGGAAGACACAGAGCCCTTCTGTTTGTTACCCAGATCTCCCTTGAGGGCCCCTTGAACCTGTTCTGTTGGTCTTGAAAGACTGTGTAGAGACTGAGGACCATCTGCTGAGGCGCTATTTCCCTTTCTCAGAAGATCTGAGATAACAGTACATCAGTAATTTGGCTCCTTGGTTAAAACTGGAATTTCTTTTCGAGGGTCAAGCAAGTCTGCAAAGTGATAGTTTTACTGAGTCTAGTCTTTAACTCCTGGGTTTTGAATTTTACCTTGAATTAGTTGTGTTTCTTCTGAATGGTTTTGTTTGGGAAATCCCTTAGTTTGAGGATGGAATTGAAGTTAAAATCCTTGTGTCATTTATAAGGTGACATGAGCATGTTAGGAACCTGAGACATTAATTAAAAAAAAAAAAAAAAAGTGCTATACTCATTATTATTCCCCTGGGAAAGGACAAAGGAGATCATGCACTGCATGTGACAGATATTAGTTATATGGCTTGAGGCAGTCCTGGAAAATGCTTAGCAGTCCCAGGGTGTCACAAGCACCTGTATAGATTAAAATACCTAATTACACAGCAGTGTAAGGAATGACTTTACAAGCCCAGAATCTCATAAATGCTTCCTTTACTGCATTTTACTTACATACATCCATACTGTTTTTATTTCCTTGCTCCTTTCTTTCTCCTTTCTCCAAAATATATGGAGAAGCAAGAGCTATCCCAGATATTGTAGACATATTTCTCTGATTAGTAAATAAACATGTTAACTGTAGATCTTTGATTAAAATAATTTTGTTAAGATGAAGTGATTTTTTTTTTCCTCTACCATGATAACACCTGACCAGATATACTGTAGGCTTTTAATAATGCCAATTCAGATTCTTATCTCAAAAACATAGATTTATTTCCAGTGGAAATTTGGTTTTGCTGGTAGTTGTTTTGGGTTTTCAGGCAGTAGATTGAATTCCACGCTCTGATACATCTTGGAAATGTGGGAACTATCACTTCAAACATTAAAACACAAATGAAATTGTATTATAACACTGTTGAGTGGATAAACAATGCTTTACTACTTTTATATGCATGCAGTGGCAGACAAAATGGGCTATTTCTCATAGTAAGTAAAGACACATACTGTATTTTTTTTTCTAACAAGTGACTTTTCACCCATCGAATGACTTAGTTTGTGCATGCATAGCGATGCACAAACCAAGATGGTATTGTGTCTTTTGAATTTATGTATACACTCCATGTGAGTCTGTTTGCAGTGAGTCAGTAATTTTTTTCTGTGCTGAAAATGTGAGTCTTTCTCCTGGAGCAAGCATGTGTAGGTGTGCTGGGGAAAGCAGGCGTGCAATTTTATCACACTGTCTCATGATATTGCCTGTCCAAGAGAACATATGTGGTGGGGGGAAAAAGGAATATTTTTGTCTTGCCTGGACTAAGTATTTTACATACAATAATGGAAATGTATATTGGGTTAGATGGATCAAGTACAACAAGCAAGGCAGATTTCTTTCTTAAAAAAGAAAAATAACAGTGCTAACTTTGAACAAATATCATAGCTCTTGGTTCAGGAAATATCTTCAGTTTTAAATTTCAGGTACTAAAGCACTTGTCTGAGTACCTGATTGGCTTAATTGAGAGCATTCAAAAGAATTTACATCACATTTGCCGTGTACATCAAATCTTTTGGTACTGTGACTGCTGGTATGAGATTTAAGTTGATAATATGTGCATGTGCCTGCATTTTATTTGTTAGTGTATTCAAGATATTGTAGCAGCAGTGCAAACTGCAATGTTTTAGAGGCATGTTTTCCACAGAATAGAACTTGTCTTGTACGTGTGTTTTGTACTTCAATATTGCTGTCTATTTCCAGAAAGCTTATTTCTCTTAGCAGCTCCGGTGTGGTGCAGTTATTCATTTTACTATGTTATTCCTAAATGAAATGAGCAAGTAATGCAACCTGTTTTTCTTGAGTATATCAAAGAATTTTTTTTCAAATTGGAAAGGACACGAAGACAGTTGTTCATTTCAAGCCATATATACTCAATACAAATTATCTGAAAGCTAATGCTTTGATCCCAAATAATTCCAACCTTGACTCTTAGAGTCAATTTTTCTTTGATCTGATTAATTGAAGTAAGTTAACCGATATGTCTGTCTTGCTAAGATGAAATTAAGTAGCATATTCTATTACAATCGAATACACAAATTTTTACTCAGCAGTACACTTGGGGCACATTTATAACTTCAACTTTTAAAAAGCAAGAATTGAGGACATTATGAAGGTAGGTATGTTTTATATCTCTGAAAAATCAGGTCTCCATACCCTATTGACAGTAAGAGACCTAGAGATCATTTCCCTACCTTCTCCAACTCCATTCCCTCCTGTGCATTTCAGTAGAATTGATGTAACCTACCCCTGTTCCCTGCCCTGCTGAGTGTTAGCGGTTCCTGGATTTTATTGGAAGACCTGGTCTAAAATCCTGTAGATGGGACTTCCAAATTTACCAAACTGCCTCACTAGCACATGGGAAGCTCCATGATGCAAGAGATTCCGGAGTGTTGTGTGTTTTGAGTTTTGTAAAGTGCTATTAGAAATACCATTGCAGTATTTATTATTGTGGTAGGATATTGATGTTACTAACGCTGCATAATGGTTCATTTTAGGTAGAGTGCTATGACCATGATGGTGATGGGTCTCACGATCTCATAGGAAGCTTTCAAACCACAATGTCAAAACTGAAGGAAGCATCTCGGTCCTCACCTGTAAGTCTTGCATAGACTTAGCTGCTTGTGTGTTTTTATTGTGTTATCTTTCTCTATTCTCTTTATCTATTTGGCGGCAAAACTCGCCTCACTAGATTTGCTTTTTGGTATGTAAGTAGTGTTTGACCACAACTTAAAATGCTAGTGTGGTTGAGGCAGATTCAGAATTTACATTATGAATTCACTATTCTAAGATTAAGATCTTGGTTGGTTTTCAATGCTTAAAGTATGTAAATACCAAACATTGATTTCCAATAAATTTCATAGATTTAGAAAAAATATATATAGAATTCATAAAATACAGGTAGGCAGAATAAATAATAGAGTACAAATTTCCTTGCAGTTAAAAGGACAAAGCAGTACTCCTGTCAGATTTGACTTAATCCTTTATTTCGAGTGCAGCACTCATCAGCTATAATGCATAATTCACTGAATACGAAAACCCTACCGCTGCACAGAAATTCACTTGACGTGTTATATTAGATGACTGTTAGAGTAAAATTATCCTTTGTGTTTTTGACGATTTGCAAAACTTGTAATAAACAGCTTACAATTAAAAGAGTGAAAGACAGCATAGCAACTTTAACATAAAAGTCTCTGTTTAATGGACAACTAATTTTTTTTTCCTAAATTCTGTAAAATTTGAATAATTGTTAATGCATTATGAATAATGGGTTATAGCGAGTGCCTGCTTGCTCTTTTATAACATCTTGGATGTTTTGTTTTTATTGAAATCTTCAGAGCTGCTGATGATTTAAAAAGTTGACCTTGAATGTAGTGTGTCTGTGAATAAATTTTGAACAGTGCAGGGTTAATCATTCTCTTTTGTATCATTTGTTAAGAATTTTGAAATGCTTACCTTATTCACATTTAATTTGCTCCTGGGAGCTATTTTTTTCTAGTTTTTCTGCATCCAGATAATGTCAGCTTAGTTTTTATTGCTGACAGAGATCCTTATTATTATTGTATTTAAAGTATGCAAATATGAATGTGAATGGACTGGGTGGAATTTCATAAAATAGCTTAGTTTTCTACTCGTTTATAATACATTCCAGTTTTTAAAGGTGATCTTGCCTTTTTGTTAGTACCATAAACTGAGTAAAGCTAGCAGGATTCTGTACATTCATATTTTCCAGCATACATGGATTTTTTTTTTTTTTTTTAAGAACCACAACTGTAGCTACCTGGGCAGTGTGAAGCCTGCTGCATAAAGGCTCCTTGGGAATGTAAATGCTTATTTGCATTTCTCCCCTATCGAAGAGACAGAAAGGGAAGAAATGAAACAGGCTGGGTCACTTGTGAATTTGAAGGAGTTTTTTTCTGTTTTGGAAATGCTTAGGAAGGCTTCATGCCTTATTTAAAAAAAAAAAATGCTATCAAAGCCTTCATGAGCATCATGGCTCCACCTGTTTAGAGCAGCTGTGTCAGTAGGATGAAGCAAAGATGTGCAACCACACAGGTAAATAGTATGCTCCAGACTTCTGTTTAAAAACAGAATTCAGGAGCACAGACTTCTGAAGCTGAAGCATAGCTTCTCTCATCCCACGTGTTTTGATACTGTCCATAAGATGTTTCCAGTGCAACTTAAAGCTTGACTTCATAGGCTGGGTGATCTCTGGTTATTCCCACAGGCTCACCTGAAGGGGGAGCTTCTGGAGGATTACCGAGAAGTTTCCTCCTTTCCTCTTAATATGTTTTTGCTTTCCCCAGACTTTGAATTCTTGTTGAATGATTATGAAATTTACTTGAAAGATTATATTACATATACGTGCTATATATTTTTGACCAGTAGTACTGAGTACCTGAGCAATTGTGATAGTATGGAGTAAAGTTACTTAAAGTTTTGAAGAGGTGAGGGAGAAGCATATAGACTTAGCGGGTGCTAGCCTTGTTAGTACATTCCGTGCCTTTTTACTCTTAAGATTAATTGCAAGATTGCTTTTTTAAATCTGACTTTAGCAGGAATCAAAGCAGTGGAGCCTTTTTTTCTGGCTCTGAGTCAGAAGGCACAGCTGAAATGCCTCTTTGGACCATTTACATGCCAATCACATGCCCTCAGCACTGCCTGGTAGCAGTGCCTTGTGATGCGCACTGGCTGGTTCTTGAGCCCAAATTTAGATTAAGCTACTGCTTCAGTTTATGAAGCCTGAATCACTGAATTTGGAAGACTTCAGTATGCAACTTTTATTTCATGTGTTCCTGCTGGGTGTTCTCTCTCGCCTTAGGTGAATAATCCTGTCTTTATGAAAGAGAAAGTTTTTTGAAGAGAAATCGTCAGGGAGAAAATGATGCAGAACTTCTTTATTGGTGGAAATACACTTCTCTAAATAAATCATTTTGTACGCTTTTGATAGAGAGAGGATTAGTGTTTTTCTCTGCCCTGATGATTTTTTTCTAGCAGATTTTGTGTGCTGAATTAAAATTTGTCTGACAGTGAAATAAACTGCATTTTAATACAAGACAAAAATATCAGTCCAATCAAACAAAGAATTTCTGAACATGTTCCATAAATGATATTTACTGTGTTTTTGTCTTCTTTTGAATTCACGTAGGTTGAGTTTGAATGTATAAATGAAAAGAAACGACAGAAGAAAAAAAGCTATAAAAACTCTGGCATTGTGAGTGTTAAGCACTGCGAGGTCAGTAAAATATTATTGTTTGGCTGTTTATAAGCATTGGGGTGCAATAGCTTGGATGTTCAGTGTGCCCCCAAAATATCTGAAACAGTAAAATGTCTGAAACTTGTGGGCAGGCATGTCTGTGTATTGAACAATTAAGGGTGCTGATTTATATAGGGAGACAGATTAACACCAGGCAGCTGAAACAAGTGACTGTCCCCTGCTCTCACTTTCTTAAAGCTGCTGTTTATATGGCAAAATTGCTTGCCAATTTTAAATCCACTCCTGAAGCACTGAATTTCCAAATTTGTCAAATTACAGTGATTTATACTCTATCAAGTCTTTCTTAATATATTGTGTTATAAATGATTGCAGTTTTGAAGCTATTTTGTAGTTTATGTGTAATTTTGTGGAAGCTGTGATTCTGATGTCCTGAGTGTGTGTGATGCCTACACTGTAACATCCTCACTGCAGTGCTGGAGCGGTAGAGAGTAAAAGCAGTGCAACTTCAAGAGTTATTCCAATAACACCTATTTTTCGCCTCTCTGAATTTTCTACTCTATTTAATTTTTATTTTTAGATCATAGTAGAATGCACATTCCTTGACTATATAATGGGTGGATGTCAGCTGAATTTCACAGTAAGTTAATTATATATTATTATATATATTTGTATAAAATAGCTTTTGAATTTTGAAGCAAGCTAAAATGTACCATTGGTAAGCTGTGCTCCTTTTTTGATTACTGTATTTTTCATTTTTCCAGAGTCCATGTGTTTTGTTTCAGAAAAAATATTTTTTTGTTCTTGGTACAAAGCTCTGAACCTCTAGTTATGTTTAGCAGAAACTGACAGCACTGCGTGGAAGGAGAAATTTACAATTCTCTGGTGGCTAGGTTTATTTTATGCTTCCTTTTTGTAAGTGTTTGGTTCTTGTTTTTTTTCCTCCCTGCCTACGATTTCTCTTTCGACCTTGAATGTGGCTTTCAAGGCCCTTTGCACAATGAAAGTGATACGCAGAAGCCATGACAGAGGAGCTGGCCCTGAAGTGGTAGGATTTGTAAAGCTACAGTGTCACCTTTGCAGTGTATTTCATTATTGACCCAGAGAAAATGATCTCTTGAGGTCAGAGAAAAGGCTATTCTGTGGTCTCTGGCTAGTCTACTGATGAGTGTGTGTATGGTAAGAAACAGGATGAACTTTGCAGCTATTGAAGAGCTGCTGTGAATGTTAACGGAAAATAAACATAGCCAAAATCTGACAGCTAAAATTCATTCCACCCCTTCTGAGGGAAGCACAGATTTTGCCTGCTGTTAGAAGGCTGGTTTCACCTCTGGCAGCAGTTTGGAGTAACTATTGTGTTTGACAGGTGGGGATAGATTTTACAGGCTCCAACGGAGACCCTCGCTCCCCGGACTCGCTGCATTATCTCAGCCCCAGTGGAGTTAACGAATACCTGACAGCCATTTGGTCAGTAGGAATGGTCATTCAGGACTATGATACGTAAGTCTTGATATGTGTGCGGGGGGGTTTTGTTTGTTTGTTTCCTGGGACGTTTTAAATACGTGCATGTTCTTGTGATGATTGTTTTTTAAATGGCCTGTAATGTGGAAGATGTCAGAATGACAAACAAGTATGTCAGAATGAAAGCTTTTGACCTGAGTGAAGGCTAAAAAAAACTTCATAATCACCATTTTGCTTGTGTTTAACAGCAGACAACTAGGGCTTTTCATCTGTGTTGTATACAGCTTATTAATTTAAATAAATGTTTGAATTCGTGGTGATCTGGTTTTAAAGACTTTTGTTGCTCCTAGATATGTTTACAGAGGGAAACTTTCACTTAATTTTCCCTCTTAATTCTTAATAAGCTGCTTTTTAATGATAAAAGCAGCCCTGATTAGCTCAATTTACTGAACTATGACAGCTTTTAAAGCAAAGCACTCACTTCATTTTCTTTTAAATTGCTTTTCTTAGAGATAAAATGTTTCCAGCCTTTGGATTTGGGGCACAGATTCCTCCTTCCTTTCAGGTAATGGATGTGCAAATGCATTACATTGGATAGTTCAAAGCATTGCTTCAGGAGGAGATTGTGTATACAATTCTAACTGTCCTTCGTGTATTGACAGGTGTCACATGAGTTCCCATTAAATTTTAATCCATCAAACCCATTCTGCAGTGGTAAGTCCAAAAGTAACTTTTTCTAAAATGATATGAGGCAATATATATCTGTGTGTTCCTTGCATCACTAGCACAACTGTATGAACGATAATATCAATGATTCCAATTTATATTGGAAAAAGTATATAACTTATTAGACCATGGGTTTGAAAGGAAAAAAATACTTGAAAGGTAAATTGTGAAGCATATTGATCTAACTAAATAGAAGAAGAGTTTAATCATGTCCCCTAACAAATATCTTCATTATTAGAACTACCATTTGTTCTCTCTAATGATACATGAAATAAATGTTTTGAACAACTGGGGCACAATTTAGGCAGTGTAGGAACAGGTCTTTCATGTTGAAATGTCACTTCACTGATAATTCTAATATGAAAAGTTAAGAAGAAAATATTCTTGTTTCTTAGGAATCCAAGGCATTGTTGATGCATATCGGGCTTGCCTTCCTCAAGTGAGGTTATATGGGCCAACCAATTTTTCTCCAATTATAAATCATGTGGCAAGATTTGCTGCTGCAGCTACACAGCAGCAAACAGCATCTGTAAGTGCTTTACTGTAGTGTATGTATGTGTTTTCTTTTTTGTTTTCTGCTTGCATATATTATTTTTCTCTTTTACGCTTGTAAGCATGAACTGTTTCAACAATTTGCCATTTACCCTGTGAAATTGTATTTGATATTCTTAAAATTAGATAAAGTCTAACTCATTCTTGCAGGTTATGCAGAGCAATTCACTTCTAAATTAAACTCGAGAGAGTTGAAGTAGCAATTTAAATGTGACATTTTTGTGCGATCTTTTATGCAAAAGTTCTTGCAGTGCTATACAAATATTGAAGTCTAATTTAAGCCTCTAAATATAGGAGAGCATCTTAATCTCAGTGAAAAAGTTAACTACAGTCCTTGGTTTGCATTGGATAACCGAAACAGAGAAGTAATATGATGCATAGAGATGTAGTTCCTGACATCTAGGTACCAATATAGATATTGAACTGCCCTTACTATAAAACTGAATGTGTTATGTGCATTTGTAAATATCATGCCTGCTTCCCTACTGCAAATCAGATGTGTGGGTTGCTGACCATATTAAGGGTTGGCAAATTTGAAGACTGAGTCTTGACTATCAAATTATTTGCGTAGTAGTTCACATAAGTTTAAGAAACCTAAATCCATATATATCCTTAATTATTCAGCATAGCAAATCTCTCTCTTACACAGTAAAAAATAAAAAATAAATAAAAAATCAGGAAGTAAAGCTAGCAGTTTTTGCATACAGTAGTGCTCATGGGAAGCAATTTGGAAAAGAGCTGTGGATTTTTATTCACAAAGAAGTTTGTAAAGTTTTGCCTTGGTGGTTTTACAGTAGTAGCTGTAATCGATATTTATATTGGAACAGTAGCAGAAACCTCCTGTCATTTTTGCTAGGTATGTACGCGCACAAAAGAGAGAACTTCTACTTGAGCAGAAATACTGAAGAAAATATCTACTAATAACCTAAGCCTGGTGTTAGTATATATATATTTTTGTTGTAACACTTGTTTATTGCTTTGACAGCAATATTTTATACTTCTGATCATAACGGATGGTGTAATAACAGATCTTGATCAAACTCGAGCTGCCATAGTTAATGCTTCAAAACTGCCCATGTCCATTATCATTGTTGGTGTTGGGGGAGCTGACTTTGATGCTATGGAGTTTCTGGATGGTGACAACGGAGTTCTTCGGTCCCCATCTGGAGAACCAGCTGTCCGGGACATAGTCCAGTTTGTGCCATTTAGGAAGTTCCAGAATGTAAGTAATTTTAGCTGTCCGCTTAATAAATTTTGTAGAGGAATGCTAGAATTTGCTAGAATATTATTCATATAGTTGTGAGCTGCTGTAGTGACCCAGAGATGAACTCTAAAGCCTGAGATTTGTCTTCATCAAATGCTTTAAAAAAAAAAGGGGGTTGGGGCAGGGAAGGAGAGAAGTGAGAGGGATAGGAAAAAAAGCCTTGAGCCTCTGTAGAGTTTTCAGTGGGGAAGTCGATTCAGCTGAAAAGACTCCTTTGCACTGCATTTCTGACCAGTTGTTGCAGGGAAATGACCTTTTTAAATATCCTTCGGACTCACTTTAGTCTGGTAAATGGATACATTGTTTACTTGGGAGGAAGATATCACTGTGATTTTTCTTATGGAAAAGTGTTTTTTATTGTGGATGTGCCAGTTGTAGTTGTGGATCAGTTGCATCTCTGTGTGTGTCACTTTTTAAAGCAGTGTTAAAATCCTAGGCCAAGCTGAGGAGGTGGTAGGCATTAGAAATTGTGGTCACAACAGTGGGGTCAGTTTGAATTTACATTAAAGCAAAGATACCAAAAAACAGGAAGTGAAAGAATGGAATCCTTATTTGCTGTACAACCCAATAAAATGTGCCTAGGCTCATGCAGTCTGTCATTTAAATGTCACATCTCTGAAAAAAAAGTTAATTTCTAAGAAAATCAAAACTTTTGGGGTGTGGAAAATAAGACCAGTATAAACTACCTTAAAAATTCATAATTTCAATATCAGCCCTAGCATGTTCTATTTTTTTTGTTTCTTTATCTTAACTCTGTTAATAATATTGTATTGACATGGCTAAATTCTGTGTCTGAAGTGTGTGTGATACCTACATGCAAATAAATACATCTCTGTGTGTGTGTAGGCATATACACACATATATAAATTTTGTCATCCTATGGACATCCAGCTTACATGACTGCAGTGAAAGGAGGCAGTCAGCTGGTCACGGGAGTGGAAAGGTAGGAATGGCAGGGAAGCTTCCCTGTCTCCCATGAGGGCACTGTGTGAGTTCCTCTGCGGTTGCTCCTCCTAGGATCCCCTTTGACTCTTAATGGAACCTGATACCTGTTGTTGTGTTAATAAGGCTCCCAAAGAAGCTCTGGCGCAGTGTGTCCTGGCAGAAGTCCCCCAGCAAGTGGTGAACTACTTCAGCACCTACAAACTGCAGCCTCCTAAGAACCTTGCTGCAAAGTGAAGGGGTCAAGCAGAAGACTGAGGCTCTGCACCTTCATACACAGTCCTTCATACCTACAGGCTTTGAGTCTTGAGATACTTTTATATACATGTATATACACACACCTGTATGGTAATGTCTATTAGCTTTTGCCTGCAAATCACTATTTTGCCAAGTGTGCCTTTAAAGAACCCAAATTATTATTGTTCTAATTATTAATTTGTGTAATGGGAATTAAGTGGGTGCATTTTATTTTTAAAAGTAACAGCGAAAAGAAAGAACCTACATATTCAGGGAGAACAACTGAGAGTGTAATGGCTATCTATTACATTTCTTGGATAAATATGTCCAGTGAGATGGTTCAGTTACTTTAGTGGGGATTTCCATGGAGTACTGCTGTTCCTCAGTGATGTGCAGAAGAGGGTACACCAAGCAGACAAAAGTAGATATGTGCTTCAGCACATAGAATGCTTCAGCAAATCTAGAATGCTTCAGGCTTCTGGATCTATTAAACTACCATTATAGAATTTTATCACAGTGGAGGCAGAATTAGACTAGTGCCAGAACAGAGTGCAAAAGCCATCCTTGCTTGCATACTTCACATTTGCCACTTTAGTGCCTTTTGCCAGTGCTTGGGATTCAGGGCTGTGTGAATATTAGCCAAACAGGTAATTAAGTGCAACTCCTACAAAATTTCTGTGTATTACAGGGATGACCAAGGCGAGTCAAGGTAAGACCTTGGGCATCTCAGAAATAGGCTATTGGCCTTCCACTGTAAGAGACTGTAAGATGTGTTTCAAGTGTGTGCCATGCTGGAAATAGGGAACTGCAGGTTGTCCTTTGTCCTTTTTTCTTCCGTAAAGCCATCACATATAACTATTGATTTTCAGAGGACCTTATTCTGAAGGCACATGTAATTGGATGTAAAAGTCTCATTTATCACTTCCAAGATGCCCATCTTAAATATTAATTTTGCACTTGAACATTTCAAATATTTTAGAATTATGCATCATCTGACTGATCTGATCTTGACTGCTCTCTCTGACAGGTTAGAACAAAATGAACTGGCTATGTAGGCAGTCAAGATTGTACTAGAACACACTGTGTGTACCTTTTTCAGTGGCTGGAGCTGCTCTGGTTTTATTCTATTCCATTTGGGTATAATACTGTCAAAAGACTGAATCTGTATTAATTTTGTTGACTGAAAGATATGTGCACATCCTTGTGTAGAGCACAACAAATGGTTTGTAGACACTTGACTCATTATGAATCATGAATTAATATATTGCTCCTCCCTTTTTTCCCTATAGGATCCCAGATAGTTTTGATAATGAAATACTATCAAAGTAGATTGTTTTGTATTAAGCCAACCTCACATTTTTTTTTAATCTTTATATATCAATCTGCAGTCATCCTTTATCAGTGAAGTGCAAATATATTACTTTATACAGAAAGTGCAATGAATTGTCATGCCAGAGATGCAAAATAATAATAAGGTAAAGGAAGTAGTTATAATAAATCACAGCTGCAAATTGGTATTATATGTTTTTGGAGCAGTAAGCTGTTTCACAGCCAGGTGTTTCATTTGGAAGGAGGATTAGATGCTTTGTCCAGATTCACTGTAGTGAACATACACTAGTAGTAGGAATACAGAGTAGTACGAAATGTCTCTGAGCTGTCTCTCTATTCCCCTCTTCCCCCCCACCCCCCAACAAACAAAACAACAACAAAGCTACTTCTAAGTTACCTTAGCAATTCTGTCTTGGATTGCAGTGGAAGTGCATTTTAAATGCAATTGAGGATGGTAGTAGGTATTTTATATCAAAATTCTGCTGCTTACAAAATACATAAAACATTTTGGTTTGGAATGGACAACAGCAAGACTCATTTTCCAGATCATACAGCTTTCTGAGACACATATAGCTAGCAGCCTGCTGAAAAGTTTGGGAATATCAAGGTTGGATTGGAACAATATTTTGAGGCAAGAAATGCATCAATTTGCGAGTCGGTGGTGTCAAGGTCATTCTGTTGTTGTTTTGTTTTCCTTTTTAAATATATAACATGCCATGTTAGCTTGAGGGTGATAAGACAAGTGCTGTCTTAAGTTCTTTGCAAAGTGAGTGTGCTTGTAGGTCACTTGCACCACCTTGTGATACAAATGATGTATAGCAGTTTTCATAATCAGATGCTTTTTGCCATTTAAAGGACTTAATATATGCATATGTACAGCACAAAAATAATTATGACTTTTTTTTTTAAAAAAAGTACTCTCCATATGTTTTTCAGCTCTGATGAATTTAACTGATTTATAATGCCAGTGCATTAAAACTCTTAATTTCATTATACTAATGTGCTTTCTTATTCAGCATTTTCTATGAAACAATGAACAGCGCTTTCACACTTGTTATAATGAGTGTTCCACAGGCATCAGATGGCTCAGATATATATAATAAATATTACCAGATAAGAGGGGAAATGCCTATTTTGCTCAGTGGTTACAAATATGCACAAATATTTTATAAAGCATAAGATACTAGCTTTTAAGCAAAAAAAAAAAATCTGAAGTCAGACAGTTCAGCAATAAATTTTTCCTGCTCTTGCCACATTTGCGAGGAGTTTCCTCATTCATGCTGTTCTGTACAGGTATGGTCAATTTTTCAACTCCTTATTCAGAGAGGCTTCCATGCTCCGAAGTAGAGGGGTATGAGGGTATGTATTTGATTTTAAATATACTGTCCTACTTTACCCTTCATAGTTTCCTAGCATTCAAGTATAATCAAGTCTGAGATATTTTATAGGGAAGCTGAGAGGTGCTAGAGACACAGCGCAGTGTGATGCTGTGGAGAACTAGAGTTTGGTACTGTGAGTTGCATCATCTCAGCACTCTTGCAGTAGTTCACTCAACTTCTCCATGAGTCAGGAATCCACAGGGTGGAGTTGGTTTCAAGAACAACTAAAATCTGACGCATGCAGTAGATATTGACGTTTCTTTAAAGCATCTGGCCTACAGTTTGAGCTAATAATAATGCTCACACACAGGTGAGTTTCTCTTCACTCCCACTTTCCCATTGGGATGAGGAACAAATTGCTTCACCAAAGCAAGGAGGGTAGCAGGTTTACATGTGGATGGCTGCTTAGTAACAGCCTGTAAAATGGATAAAATATCTTTCACCACTGGGACATCATCTTTCCTGCAAGGTCTTTTTTTTTTCTGATCTATTGTAGACTGCTTACAAGCCTTCCACATGAAGGACTCTGGTGCATAGGGTCCTAGAGAAGAAGGAAGGCATGCCTGCTACAGATGGGATGGTTTCTGATGCTTAGTGGACACCTGTTCTTACATATATGTGATTTACTTTGCTCAGTAATGGATGCCTGGTTACTTTCTAGTAAGAGCCCAGCTTGTGAAAGGCTGTGATTAACTGTGTCTGTCTCACATAAGGGTGAGATGGAGTACCCCTCACCTGATCTCTCACTGGTCCAAAGCAGGAGTATATTTCTCATTACTAGCTTTTAGAGAGGCTAAAACTTACTTATGTTGCCCTGTCAGCAATGTCTGAAGAACCAAAGTGAGGAGGTACCTAGGTCTGCAGGAGAAGGGAAGACAGAGTACTCAGTTGGAAAAACTAATCCTAACTAGGCTTCTGCCATCCTAAGGTGTTAGTAATTTGAGCAGGAACAGGGTTTGTGTGGATTCACCTGTGCGCTTGTGCCCTTGGCCCTAAACATGTTGTTGCACAGATGATTCAGCTGTGTTGCAAGATTCTCTTGTCCTAGCTACCTTGAGCTCTGTGTTATTTTGGTGAAGACCCTACAAATAGTTGGACTATAGGCCCCTTCCTGCTTCTCCTGCCCTACCCCGCAAAACAAACAAAAATCAAAACCTGGAGAAATTATATGAAGTAAAGGGATAAACGCTCCAACTGCAGAAAAGTTAGAAGTTGGAAGAAACCAGATGGATGCTAATTCTGTGTAGCCATGATCTTATGCAAACACTGGCATTTCTCCTCTTTCTTTCTGAGTCTAGAGAGCTGAGAGCCATGCGTAAGTTCATAATTTTAAAGACAGAACTGGCAGCCTTTCCTGTAAACCTGAACTGGGGAGAGGTGTAGCAGAGCAGTAACCCACATGGGATGCTCTGCTGCAGTGTGACACTTCCTGCTGCAGACTCAACCCTTCCTTTGTAATGTGTCAGTGTGCGATTGATGAACCTCAAAATAAGTATTTTTGCTGTCAGTATACTGAAGTTACCTGGCAGCATTTGTCAAGGCAGAAGGGAGTCAAATGTCTTGCAATAAGAACTTCACTTATCAGTACCAAAATTTTAGAATTTGGGGGATTATATGCTTTTCTTCCTGTCCATAATTATTAGCCATTTTAGCTGCAGAAGTGATGTAGTAGCCCTATATCATCACGAGAGATCCTCTCAGTCTCGGAAGGCCTTGTTTGTGAAGCAGGTGTTCTGCAGTATTTCTGTTTTTGTCGTTGTGTCTAGATATTCCTGGATGTGCAATAGATGTATAATTCCTTATGATGTCTCTTATCATTTCCCACCTCTGTTATATGAGATACTTTTTTACATATCAAATGCAAATAAAGATGGATCTTACCATGTAGCAGTTAAACCTTGACCTCATTAATGCAGATTTTTTTTTGAGTTGTGTTTTAGTCACCCCCAAGAACACGTGGAATATACAAGATGCAAAATTCAGTCTTCTTGCTTTTATTCAGGCAGAGTTCCCTCTGATTTTAGTTGGGTCGCCAGCTTTCACAGAATCGCAAACCACTTGATGTTGGAAGGTAGACTAATCCTCCTGCTTTAGCAGGTTCAGCTGCAGCAGGGTGCCCAGGACCGTGTCCAGGTTGGTTCTGAGCATCTCCCAAGGATGGAGACTCCACAATCTCTCTGGGCAACCTCTTCCTGTGTTCAACCACCATCAAACCAAAGAAATGTGCTTGTGTGTGTGTCTCTGTGCACGTGCGTGCTCAAATGGAGTTTTCTGTATTTGAGTTTTTGCCCCTTGCCTCTTGTTCTGTCCCTGGGAA